TACAGGTCTTTATTCAACACCAGTTAAAATTATGTTGCTGTTCTCTGTGTGTCCAGTGGAGTTTCGCTGGGTAACATACTGCCCCCTCAGTTGTTCCTGTGGATCTGAAACTTATCACTGTTCTGGGGCTATGTGTACCCATTTGAAGCTGATGATCAGAGCCAGATTTTGCACTCCCTGTTTTTGTCTCTATACACATGGAGGTGTCACTATGGCATTGTTCTCATCCCCATATGATGAGAACAAGACTTCATGGTTGATACTTTGATGGAACATGGCCCTAGTCTGAAAAGTTCTCACCAGTTGTGTGGATGGAGTCACAGTTCAAGTGTATGGGAAGAGGAGACACAGGCCTTTCTGTGCAAAGGAGCATGAAGAACAATATTAAACATTTGTATTTAGACATCTTTGTAGCAATGTTTCAGTGACAGCTGAGCAGTACTGTAGAAATTAGAGTGAGTTTTCTGACAGCTTCTTTTTGATAACACGGAATAGTACCAGAGTGACTCACTGGCAGATGCAGACGAGAGTAGCTTTACCTTCACACCATCATCAGCACCTACGATCCACATCTCTGTGCTGGTGGTAGTTGACCCTCCCTGCTGCCGCAGCCCCCTGCTAGTTCACAGCGTGCAGTCAGCATGGTCCTCAAGGCAGCCTGTGACTGAGGCAGCACACATGTGCTGAAAACCTCCACTTAAGATCTGGATACAGGGATGCACAGCTCATTCTCATCCCTAGCCTAGGAGGGGAACCAGATCTTCAGCTGGAGCAAGCCAAACTCTGATGCCTTCTTATCCAAGCAGAACCTCACTCTATGATTAGTACCACTGAATTCAATGAAGGCACTTGGACATGCTATGGAATGTGAGGAAGAGATTGTGCCTGTAGGTATCATACAAAATTTACATAAGATTGATTACAGCAAATGATAGTTTTGATTAGGGAATATTTAAATCTGTTGATTGAGTTATGTCTGCCTCTGCATCTAGCCTTGCATGCTGTCCCATGTTGAAAACATCAGATGTTAGACTACTTAAAAATTCAAGTGAAGAGAGGTCAATCAATCAAGTAAGGAGCTGCTTGTTTTACTCCTGGATATGGCTAATGGAAATAGGTTATCTGGTTCCTTTAATAATGTATTAGGAATTTAACATTTCATAGAAATTATTTCTCTTTTAAACGTACTTATTTTGTAGCTGAGAAAACTCTTTTTTTGGGACTATGTTCTTCAAATAAACTGTGGGTTGGTCTCCAGAAAATGCTTCAGAAGAGTCTTAAAAGACTTGTTACAGAAAAATTATGCTCCTTCTGAGACAACATGTTGCAAGTACAAAGGGATTTTGTAGTTATCAGAGGCTTGTGCTACGTATGTGAGAGACTTTCTTGCTGAGGAAATTTGAGGAGAGAGAACAGTTTGCAGAAAAAATAGTGGATGTCGGTCTTGTCAGTCTAATCTCCCTTAAACTTTTTGTGTTTCCAAATGTAAATGATAGGCAGAAAATCGTGAGGAAGTCAGCAGTGTCAGCAAAGTGGTAAAACCTTTGCCTATGTATAAGATATAATCATGTGTTGAAGCTATATTGTCTGCGTCTGATGAAGCAGGGAAGAATGGGGCTACAGACCACATGGAGTCGGCAGCAAAATTGCCTTTTAGTCAACTACTGCCATCAATTTACTCTCGAATGATAAATGTAACTGCTTAGTTACTGAAGGAAGTGAAGTGCCTATCTTAGCATCACTTCATGGGCTAAGGCTGACACACTTACAGAGAACAGAGAGAGGAAATAGATTTGTTTTCAAATGTAAAGAAAAGTTATCTATTCTTGTTTCACAATCTCAAATGACAGCAAGCCGGGCGATATGTAGGAACATCTTTCTCTTTTGAGGAAGAGAGGGAAGGTGATATTTTCCATACCAGATCATTTTGAAAACTCTTACTAGAAAACCCAAGGCTCTTAGTAAAAATTAATTATCTTTTGTCAGTTATCAAATACTATAGGAGGTGATCTCTCAGATGTGTCTTTCTGGACTATTTGCAAGATGGGTGGAGCTGCACTGTTTTCTGTTCACATCATTGCCCAGTGCTGGGTCACAATAAGTACTGGAGGCATCTCTAGGTCAGGTTCTGATACCTTTCTTGCCTCCAGTGCAGTCTTACTCACTAAGAATTGTGTCTGTCTTAGCTAACCGTGTCACCTGTGGAGAGGCGACTCCTATGAGTCATGAGTTGGTATGAGGGTACAGCAAGGGCCAGCTGCTCCAGCAGTGACCTCACCAGCCAGGGTCCAGCCCCTCAGTACCCGAGAGAGGCAAGCAGGGCAGACCTAAGGTTGGTAGTTGGGTTCAACTCTCGTTGCCAAATTGTCTCAGATCATCCGGCAAGCTCATGGTGATGAGGCAGGTCCAAGGTCAAGCTGAGAAGTCAGTCTGTAGCTCAGAGTGCATATCAACAGGGCTCATGGCTAGGCATGGCTGTGCCCGAGTTGAACACAGATGCACAATGTAGTTTAGGCAGGGACAGAAGGTCCAGGCTTGTGCTTAAATGGAGGAGTGGGCCCATGGGCAGAGTGTGTGGGTGGAGACCCCAGGTGGGGAAGGTTAAGGCAATTAAGGAATGTTAGTATACTCAGGGCACTGACAATTGGATCAAACCTTTCCTATAGATATTTGCTTTAATTTTCCATTGTGTGTCAGGTTTTGAAAAAATGCTAATTTGGGACCAAAGTTACTAGACTTCTTACGTGACTGTCCTGTAAACCTTCTCTAGCTATGTGGTCAATCCAAAAGATCCTCCTGGCCGCAAAAGATACTGACAACCCTCTTCAGGGATTTAACTGTTGCGTAACATGCTGAAATTCAAATCTGATCAAACTGAAGAAAAGTCTTCGATGTGGTAGCCAAGTTCTTCCTGATTCTTGTGTGCACTTAGCTTGTAGTTTGTCCTTAACCTGGAAATACCAAGGTCCTGCATGCAGTTTTCTACCATTTAACTTTCCATCTATTTTGTCAGGTCCTCTTTCATGCTCTAAACATCAGTGGCATTCAATTCACATAGTTCAGTAATGCCAACACAATTTTTTTTCCATTTTCTCCTTTTAAGTCTTCTCCTTGAGAAGCACAAAGCTCACATCTAATGATTTGGTTCCAAGAGATGCGTGAGTCAACAGCAATGGTTGACACATGACCATGATGAGTACAGAATTATGTTGTCCCTCAATCCGGGAATAGGTTCATGCCTGGTGTGCCGAAGCCAATAAGCACATAGAGTTGAGATCCACCTTCTAACCTTTAATGCCATTCTGTAGAGAAAGGGGTGCTAGGCAATGGTTCACAAAAACTATCACAACTCCTTGAAAAGTTGCACATTTTTTATACAGGCTACAACAAAGGGGTTGCAAATTGATCAGTTTCCAGTGTACTCCCACCCATGAATGACTCATCATACAGAGGTGGTGCACTTTAGCACATAGGTTAAAGGAGGAGAGCTTCATTGTGCTAATTGCCTTCAGAAAACCTTATTTCCATTTTCCCCCCTTTCCTGGCCATCTTGATTGCCATTTGCTCATACTTGTCATTCCTGGGTTAGCTTGTTCTGATTTTCCGCCCTGAGGAGCATGATGATACAGTTGTCAGGGGCAGACATATATTTTAAAAGTGCTCCAAGTTTCTTAGTTTCATCACAGAAGCTGCAAAGCTTCCTTTCCTCTGAAACATAAAATTCTTTTCAAATATTTCAACATTCTATCCGGGAATAGGTTCATGCCTGGGGTGCCGAAGCCAATAAGCACATAGAGTTGAGATCCACCTTCTAACCTTTAATGCCATTCTGTAGAGAAAGGGGTGCTAGGCAATGGTTCACAAAAACTATCACAACTCCTTGAAAAGTTGCACATTTTTTATACAGGCTACAACAAAGGGGTTGCAAATTGATCAGTTTCCAGTGTACTCCCACCCATGAATGACTCATCATACAGAGGTGGTGCACTTTAGCACATAGGTTAAAGGAGGAGAGCTTCATTGTGCTAATTGCCTTCAGAAAACCTTATTTCCATTTTCCCCCCTTTCCTGGCCATCTTGATTGCCATTTGCTCATACTTGTCATTCCTGGGTTAGCTTGTTCTGATTTTCCGCCCTGAGGAGCATGATGATACAGTTGTCAGGGGCAGACATATATTTTAAAAGTGCTCCAAGTTTCTTAGTTTCATCACAGAAGCTGCAAAGCTTCCTTTCCTCTGAAACATAAAATTCTTTTCAAATATTTCAACATTCTATGTGTAATTCAATTGAACATTTCTATCCAGCAAATAATTACATATCTGTCTTCATCTCTGGTTGGCCTGTATCCCAAGGTTTAAGGCATGTATCTTTCTCATGTTATCACTGCTTAAATGTCTGATAAAATCCTTCTTTTAAAAGAAGATTGCTGAAACTGGTAGTGTAATAAGAGACAAGGCAGTTACAGCTTTATTTCCTGAAGGTCCAACTGGTAATGAACCTAACTTGTACTCCCCAAAAGCAAACACATATGTAATGTACATATACTGATATACAGATATGCACACACATACATATACATCTGTACATGGCTGGCCACACAGACAGAAACATGCAAGAGTGACACAAAGAGCACCAATGGCCTTATCATGAGCAACTCATGTTGTCTAGCTTAACTTCTGTAAGGCCTTTGACATGGTCCCACACAATATTCTTGTCATTAAATTGGAGATATATGGGTTTGATGGATGGCCTATTCAATGGATAAGGAATTGGCTAGATGGACACATCCAAAGAGTTCCAGTCAACAGCTCAATGTCCAAATGCAGATCAGTAGTAAGTGGTGTGCCTCGGTCATCCATACGGGGACTGGTACTTTATTAATGACATAGACAGTGGGATCAAGTGCATCCTCAGTTTGCAATTGACATCAAGCTAAGTGTTGCAGTTGACATGCTTGAGGGAAGGGATGCCATCCAGAGGGACCTTGAGAGGCTTGAGAAATGGGCAAATATGAACCTTACCTCATGAAGTTCAGCAAGAACAAGTGCAAGGTCCTGTACCTGGCTCAGGGAAATCCCCAGGATCAGGACAGACTGGAGGATGAATGGATTGAGAGTAGCCCTGCAAAGAAGGACTTGGGAATACTGGTGGGTGATAGACTGGACGTGAACCATTAATGTGCACTTGCAGCCCAGAAAGCCACCATCTTCTTGGGACTTGGCTCCTTAAAAATGGGTGTAGCAGCTGCCAGTACTGCCACTGAACCAAGACCCACCCCTAGTTTCCCACATATTCATGGTCTAGGTTTAGTGTGGATAGATTTGGGTATATCCCTGAGCTCAAAGCCCTTGCATCCTCTGGCTCCCTAGCTGTCTCACACAGGTCTCAGAGGGCTACCACGAGAAGTGAATGAGGAAAAGCTGTCCAGTTGCTGTAGAAGGGGAGCCAGCAGCCCATTTAGTCAGCAGCCCATTTAACTGACTCGGAGAGTGCCTCTTATTTAAACACACTTTCCATAATCTCTTAGGCTCAGTAGCAGTCAAGGGAGATTCTCAGTTTCCCCTTTTTGCTTTTGTTTCTCACATGGAGACAGGCTGGCTCTCTTCTATCACCTTTACTTTAGCTGAGGTTCTCCCCTGGTTTTTATCCTGTGAGGCATGTAGTGGTAAATCTGCTAGCATATGTTGAAGGCCCTCTTGGAAAGTAATGCCATTTAAACCTATCTTAATGGCTAAAGCTAAAGATTTCAGCACCCCCTCATCTCCCTTTATTATGGGTCTGAAAGTGTACAGGTTCACAAATCACCTCCCAAGGATTCAGTTCTGCGCATGGGGGTTGTCTGGCACTCAGGTCAGCGGGTGCTGGTCCTTCTACATCGGCTAAAAGAGCTGTTTTGACCAGGGCAGTTTGTAGGCTGGCTGCTGAATTCCAGGGCCACACAATTTTCCCCCAAGATCAATGGGATGGATAGTGTGTCCCCAGTGAAAAGCACAAGTCCATATGGGACTGGTAATATTTGGCCCCATGGAATCTAACAAGATTCCTAAACCTAATGCCAATGATGGTCTTTCAGCTGGGGCAGAGTGGAGCTGAGTCTCTTTAGCTTGGAAAAGAGGAGACTGAGGGGTGACCTAATCAATGTTTATAAATATGTAAAGGGTGAGTGTCAGGAGGATGGAGCCAGGCATCTGTGACATAGGACAGGGGGCAATGGGTGCAAGCTGGAACATAGGAGGTTCCACTTGAATATGAGAAAAAACTTCTTCAGGTGAGGGTGACAGAGCACTGGAACAGGCTGCCCAGAGAGGGTGTGGAGTCTCCTTCTCTGGAGACATTCAAAGCCCGCCTGGATGCGTTCCTGTGTGATCTGATCTAGGTGTCCTGCTCCGGCAGGGGGATTGGACTAGATGATCCCTTCCAATTTCTAACATTCTGTGATTCTGTGATTCTGTGGTTGGTTCTGGCCATCCAGACCCATGATAGCCAGTCCCATGTGTCAGCTCCGTATCTCTTTTCCAGATCTCTTCATTCTAGGGTAGTAAACTCTCTAGTAGTTGTTTTGGAGGGAGGTAGGTTTTGTGCCCCTGTAGATGTGCTCTGTTGTTCAGTCTTTATTACTGATGCCAAGAGGGCAAAGGGCAGGGAATGATCCTCCTTCTCACTTTGCCCTGAGGGGAGGGTGTGCAGGTCTGCTTCTTTCTAGATGTCCCCATCCCAATCACCACAATACACAGCGCAATAAAGTTGTGTTCCCAAAAACCTCCTCCTCTGCTCTTCAATTTCTGCAATTATCTGGGGCTGAAATTTTGACTCAAGCAGTCTATTTTGCATTTCTCATTGCTTACACTTTACCTCCGGGTATTCTTTCCATTTTCCTTTTTCAACTGTACATTTTCTTCTTTCAATGCATCAGTCATATCTGTTGCTGCTCTAAGACAACTGCCTAGTAGTGAGTGCATAACAGCTTTCCCTTTTGTCTTCTTTAACTTACAGGAAGCCTGCCATCTTGCAGGCTCCAGCCAAATCTGATAAAGCATTCACCATTCAAGTCATAAGGTTTCATAACTTAAAACCCGTAACTTTTAATTCGTGCACCTAAGAGAAAAAAGAAAAAAAGGAATTAGGAACCTAGCTGATGGTGAGAAGGCTCATCCTTCCTCCATCACCGTGCTGGCATCCCCTGTATCATACTGTGAACCATGAAAGCCTCAGCAGTCCAGCTGCTGTTGCATCTGCTTCAGAGGCTTTTTGGGTAAGCTGATATTTTATACCTTCCAGCTTGGAAGTTTGGTCTATACCATTTCCATAAGTCAGTAGATTCTGAAGAAACTGCCAGACAAAGGTGATGGCTGCAGGAGCTCGCACTCTGCAGGTAATAATGGCTGTATTATGGCCCTTTAGCTCTTTCTGGCTACCTGTCTGGCCTATATGGTGCTCTCCCTTTCACCTAATGGTGCTGCCCCGAGCATACATCAGGACTTAGCATGAGCTGTGTTGGCCAAAATCTGACTAGGAACTGGGTGAACTGTCACAGATGGGGGAGGGAATCAGAAGGGTAAAAGTGAGAAAAACTCATGGGTTGAGATAAAAACTGTTTAATAGGTAAAGCAAAATCTGCACACAGAAGCAAACAAAGAATTCATACACTATCTCCCATCGGCAGGCAGATGTTCAGCCATCTCCAGGACAGCAGGGCTCCATCACCTGTAATGATTACTTGGGAAGACAAACTTCATGACTCCAGACATCCCCCCTTCCTCATTCTTCCCCCAGTTTTTATTGCTGAGCCTGATGTCAGAGTATGGAATATCCCTGTGGTCAGTTGGGGTCAGCTATCCCATCTGTGTCTCCTCCCAACTTCTTGTGCATCCCCAGTCCACTCACTGGTGAGGCAGTGTGAGAAGCAGGTGCTTCTAGGCATCCTTGATGCTGTGTAAGCACTGCTCAGCAATAACTAAAACATCCCTGTGTTATCAACACTGTTTTCCTGACAAAACCAAAACATAGCCCCAGACTAGCTACTATGAATAAATTATTCCAGCCAAAACCAGTACAGCACCAAAGACACATGCTTCTGTGGCCTGTGGTCCAGCTCCAGTCGCTGGCACTTAGAATTCCATACAGACACATGTACACTGAACAGTCACCTCACCCAGAAAACAGTTAGAAATACATTTTAATAATGAGACACAAGAGACAGCGCTGATTAGGTGCAGGACATAGCCAGACAAGCATACTAACCAGCAGCCTGCTTACCTGACTGGCAACTTTTCACAGAATCACAGAATGGTTGAGGTTGGAAAGGAACTCGCAAGGTCATCTGGTCCAACACCCCTGCTCAAGCAGGGCTACCTAGAGCCAGTTGTCAGGATCATGTCCAGATGGCTTTTGAATGCTTCCAAGGAAGGCAACTCCACAATGTCCTTGGGTAACCTGTTCCAGCACTCAGTCATCCTCATGGTAAAAAAAGTGTTTCCTGACGTTCAGATGGAAACTCCTGTGTTTCAGTTTGTGTGCATTGACTCTGGTCCTTTTAGCCACTTACCCTTCTATTTTCCCACACATGCCAAATATCCTCGATCTGTCCCTTTCCCCACTTTTGATTCCTCTCCTAAACGTCCCATAATAAGCCTTGTGCAATTCAAAGATGCACTTCTCTTGCATCCCACAGAGTGTCCCATACCCCCCTCACTCTCTAAGGTGACATGGAAAGCCCTCATGTTGATTCATATGATGGATTTCACACCGGGACAATCTCTGCCCTACAAAGGGTGAGAGCAGGACCCTGACTGAATTATTAGGGTTCCTACACCTGTCATCATTCCTCTGTTTTCCTTTGGACATGGAGACAAGGTTTCTATCACAAAACCTAACAAATGAATGCCATCCATATTGCTTAATTGCAACAGTGGCTGGTTTTCATGGAATTTAGCAAAAGGTTTGGGTTTTTTTTTTTGTTTCAGCCTTTGTTTTCACAAAATCTACAGAAAATCATCGTCTACATCAATTCAGAGTATTAACATGTTCTAGGATTCTGTGACTCTATGTATGTTTTTTACTCAAGCAAATATGAAACTTTCTGCAAGTAAACAATCTTTTTTTTTATGAAAAGATGTTCCAAAATTCTTGCCTTAAAATTCCTGACTGGGAAAAAAACCAAGGCAATTCCTGAACAAGTCCACTCTTTTTTTTCTGTATGTGTCATTACATTTTAGGCTACACACTTCAGTTTTTCCAGTGTTTACTGTGTCTGTGTAAGACACTAACACTCAAACTGTTTTTCTTGGGTCCTAGCAGCTCCTTGTGTAGCTTGGCTTCCTAAGAATGGGGAAATAAGAATATAGAGCATTGGGACACTGAGTTGCAAGTAATAGTTTGTCTGAGAGGAAGAAGTTGAGGCAGACAATGGAAATTGCTTCTTCACACCATACTAAACACAGAAACAAAGAAACTGGTGCCCTATGAACATTTTCAGCTGGATATCATCATGGCAGAACAACAAAGAGAAAGGAGGAGTTTTTGCTGAAGCCTTTGTGAGTCACACAGCAGGGACATTACCCAGCATTTCCCAGCTCTGATAGTTCAGAAGAAGAGAGAGCTCACCTGTCATTAGAAATAACTTATATTTTAGCAGTGCAGTTAGCTCAAACTTGTAAACACAGACAAAATTCCCTGAAAAAAAAAACAAACTTTGAAGTTGGACTATTAGGAAAGTGAACTGAATAAGTCTGATTTAAGAGTAAATTAAGAGTAATAATAATCTTATTACCTATCTGTAACAGATAATCATGATTAGACACTGTCCTTTCCATAACCTTGCTCTGTCTCTGTGTATGAAGGTGCTGATGAACTGAGGCTGTCAAACGGAACTGGCCCCTGCTCTGGGAGAGTGGAAGTAAAACATGAGGAGCAGTGGGGTACTGTGTGTGATGGTGACTGGACCATAGAAGATGCTGAGGTTGTTTGTAAGCAACTACAGTGTGGATCTGCTGTTCAGGCCCTTAATCGAGCTCCTTTTGGAGAAGGATCTGGACCAACATGGTTGTATCGAGTTGATTGCCATGGTAATGAATCCTTTCTCTGGAACTGCTCACATACAGGATGGGGTACTTTTACCTGCCCTCATTACTTTGATATTGGAGTGATCTGCTCAGGTAAGAAGTCATCCAACTTTGTATAATAGAAAAATGCTATGAGGCTGAGATAAAACTTTGTCCTAGCTGACTAAAGACAAGTACTGCACAGAGTTAAAAGTTCCTCTGTGGCCTCTGGTCAGCCAAAGCAAGTTTCGCCAGCATTAAGTCTTCTGCTGACTACAGGTGTTTGTCTCCTTTGCCTGGGCACAGCAATGACATAGAATGGAAGTAGACACGGTAAATGACAGAACAGAAAAAGAAACACTGTTTTTACCACAGCTCTCCCAGGAAACACGAGAGCAGTACTAAACTTGTCTTTGACCAGGAATGAGGCTTAAAAAGCAAGTGTAGATGGAGAAGCAAGAAATTGTGTTATGCCATACAACTGCCTTTCTTCTCCAGATCTTCATGTAAGCTAAGACAGGACAGCCTGCAATGGCAAAAAAAAAAAAAAAAAAAAAAAAAAAAAAAAAAAAGGTGCCTTCCTCTGCAAGATATGCTTGGTTTTGCTCCTTGGATAAAGTACCATTGCAAGAGATTTTTCCTTCACAGCTTCCAGACTTTACATTTGTCCTTGTTGATTTTTATAAGGTTCCTGTCAGCCCATTAATCCAGCCTGTCTAGGTCCCTCTGAATGGCAGCTTTGCCCCTGGGATTATCTTCCCCCCACCCCCAAAATGCACTCCATCACCTCTAGATTGTTGGTAAAGATGATGAACAGAATAGGTCACCGGAAGGACTCAACAAGTGGTATTCCCCTTGTTGCCAGTCTTCAGAGCAATCCACTAGTCACTACTCTCTGATCCTGACCATTCAATCGGCTTTCTAAGTAGTTGGCCACTCACCCAGACTGTAACATCCTAGTTTGGACACAAGAATATTGTGCAAGACAGTGTCAAAGGCCTTGCTAATTGTGAGGTAAATGACATGCACTGGTCTCCCCTCATCCACAAATCCAGTCACTTTTATAAGAGAAAGTAATAAGGCCACACAGGCATGATTCACTCTTGGTAAATCCATGCTGTTCTTCCCATTCACCTTGTGCACAGAAATGTGTCCCAGGAGGACTCACTCCATGTTTTTCCCAGGTACCAAAGTGAGACTGACCAGCCTGTAGATCTCCAGACTGTCTTTTCAGCCTTTTCTAATGATGGGTGCAACATTTCCTCTTTCCTCTTTCTGGGGCACTTCAGCTTCCTATTCATTTGAATAATGAAGTCTCGAGGACACACACTAGTAAATGGCTATTTGTTTATTTATTTGGGGATTGCTACTTCTCAAGCATATGGCAAACGTTCGAAACTTCACTCCTGTAGCTTCCCAAGGATCTTGTATTTTCACATACTAAGAAATAAGCATTCCCACACACCATTTTCTCTCTTGTCAGTGGCATACAGGAATTGCCACAATGGTTATTTTAAAATGTCAGTAATCCTCAGAGAAGTGACGTGTCTTGCCCATGAAGGTATGGAAGTTATTAAATTAAGTCAGTACAACCAACCACTGATGTTGGATTTCTTGGGGGTTTTTTCCAGGTTTCTCTGGGCTGCGTCTGGCTGGAGGGGATACTGCCTGCTCCGGACATCTGAAAGTAAAGCAAGAAGAAACTTGGGCTACAGTCTGTTTTTCACACATTGATTTCAAAACTGCCTCTGTTATATGTAATGAGATAGAGTGTGGCCAGGCTGTGGATATCTTGAGAGGAACTCACTTTGGAGACAGTCATGAACTGATCTGGCAAGAAGAGTTTCACTGTGTAAAAAAACACATTGTCCCAGGATGCTGCACCATAGTAAGACGTGCTCTCATGATGCCACTGTTGTATGTTCAGGTGAGACTTTGGACTGATGGACGTAATGTGCATGTGTCCTATATGTCTTCCTCCTGTCAACCCACAGTTCAGAGCCTCTGTATATTTCTGTGGTCCTCAAGGTTCTTAGGTGCTAGCCCTATCATTCCCTGAGCCATCCAGGGAAGGCCAGGAAGTAACAGGGAGCAGTCCCACAACCTCTCATTCACTCTACTGAGAGTCTGCGTTTAACATGGGCTTTTCTAACCACTTCGCTTCTGCACCAGGGATGCAGGTCTCAAAGGGGCTGTAATTTCTTTTATGCTACTAGAGGTATGCACTCAATAGTGATGAGAATTCCTTCCATGTCTTTCTCATATACATAAAAGGAGAAATGGCCAGAGCAGACAAGCAGGAACATGGAGAAATTAATTTACTTTCTGTGCTGCTGGTGTGCATGTTTATCCCTGGCACTTCAGTTAATTATAAAACTGGAAGAGGTACTATACCTCCAAAAGGTCAAAGGAGGCACAAGCTACAAACTTAAGTTAGTTTAAAAAAAAAAAAAAAAAAAAAAAGAGAGAGAGAGAAAAAGTTGTCAGAGGCCTGGATTACTTTAGTTGTGACTGCCAGGTAGCATTACTTAAGAACTCCATACAGTCATGGCTGCTCTAAATACAGATAACTTATTGCCACCCACTGCAGAAGTGATGATTACACCTAGCAAACAATTTTTTTTTCCTGAGGGCACAAATCGCAAAGGGTAAACTGAACATGAGGCAGAGCTGCTGGCAACATCCTGTCACAAAACAAGGCTGAAAAAGACTGCAGTTCATGTCCATTTCCCAGTCAAAGGGCTGCAGTCCATTTCAAGACTAATTTGGACACTGTCCCACTGGCCATTGCAACCTGGAGTGCTGGCTGGGGAACTGTGGCAGCCAAATGGCCCAGTTAAGGTATCAATAACTGACAGGTCTTGGCTCCTGCCTCCATCTTGCAACAGTCACAGCTTAGAATGGAAATCCATGTCTGATTAGGGGCAGTATGATGCAAGGACCAGGCAAGGATAAGTAACAGTGTGAGAAGACAGAGGGACTGCATGGGGCTGGAAGTAGGACACCAGAGTCCTACCCATGCTGCACTTAAATTATTTCGAATTTGCTGATGGGCATGGCCTGTTATGTTCAGAGCTTTATGCTGTGGCATGGATGAAAGCTGAGAATTGCACACTGCAGTTGCTGCTTAGCAGGTAATGTGAGATGAACAACTACTGAGAGAGTGCCACTAGTAGCTCCTACTCTGAGTTTCTCACATGCTCCAAGTACAAGGCAATGCTGGAGCTGCCCCTGCAAGAAAAGATATTGTAAAGCAGCAGCAGTATTGAGGCGGGGAGGAGGAGAGAGCAGAACAGAGTAGGAGAGATCGGACTTAAAGAGTCAGACTTTTAGTCATGTAGTACAGACTACAATGTGGACAATAAAGACTTTTTTTTTTTTCCAGAGATGGCTTATGAGCATCCTGGTCTAACATGTTTCCTGAGACATAGGGAGTGTTAGTTCCTTGCAGCTGGTTCCTTGTAGCTAGATCTCTCTTACAATATTCAGTGCAATAGCACAGAAAAGATGTAGCTGCTAAATTCCCTTATTCTTCTTGCAGGCTATGGTGGGTACAGGCTGGCAAATGGCAGTACCACATGTTCAGGGAATGTAGAGCTTCTTCATGGAGGCACATGGGGACCCCTGTGTGACTACCTGTGGGATTTACCAGCTGCCAATGCCCTCTGCCAGCAGCTGGACTGTGGTGTTGCCCTACTGATACCAGGTGGACAGTCCTTTGGGAAAGGAAATGGATCTGTCTGGAATGGCACATTCAGCTGCAAGACGAATGGCTCACACCTGAGAGGCTGTCCTGTGAGTGTGCTAGGTCCTGATGAATGCCCTTCTGGAAAAGACGCTCATGTGGTATGTTCAGGTGAGCAGCAAAAAGGTCTCAGATGAGAAATGAAAAACTTCTTTGAGGAAAAATACAGACCCAAAATCCAGACGGTGTCTGTGGAGCCAAGCTCCATCTTTAGTCTGCTGCTACAGGCATTTCCAGGATTTGAGGCTGCACTTCACCTGTAGTACAAGGCTGCTCTCTGTGAAATGCTCCTAGTGTCAGGGAACAGCAAGAACAGGGCTGCTTCACAAGGTAGAATGATCTGGGGGCAGAGGGTGAGGACATCACAGGCAGTGTCCTTACCAATCAAGGCACAATCCAAAGCATCTGCACAGAGGACAGAGGGAAGGTACTGATAACAAGGTCTATAGACAGTCCCAGACAAGGCAAAGTAGCCAAACAGATATATGGTCCAACTGGAGAGTACAGTTAGGAGTAGCAGAAGGCAAGACTGGAGACCGTTACCCCAGTCACAGACTGAAGTCTTGGTCCAGGTTTAAGTGAGGCCTTGGACCAGCAGGCCAAGGATGCATAGCTGGAGGCCCTAGGTGACAGCAGTCAGAATAATTAAGGTCTACTTGTTCAGCTAGATCCCTGAACCCTAGTGCCCTGAGTTTAAAAAATGCAAAGGGGACCAGATCCTAATTTCTAGTCATTCTTCTCAGTAAAATAGGGTCGACTGAAGTCTCATTATGAGTATGGAAGATCCAGTGGCCCAGTGGAGTCATTTTTACTACTGAATGCTAAGGAAAACTCATTCCCATTTCTCAGGCACTTTCAGGTCCTGCCCATCAGCAGTTACCAATATGACATCTCATTACTCACTTTCTCTTATATTCAGGGTGCCCAGGGGGCAGGTTGGTGAATGGCACCACATGCTCTGGCAGAGTGGAGATCCGCCATGGAGATACGTGGGGAAGACTCTGCAGCTCCCACTGGAATTTTCAAGCTGCCAATGCTCTCTGTCGTCAGCTGAACTGTGGCTACGCAAAATCAATCCAGACAGAAGGCCGTTTTTTGGATGGGAATGGGCTTGTATGGAGAGATGCTTTTCACTGTGAAGGGACAGAGTCCTGCCTGTGGGATTGTACTCAAGTGACTTTGGGCAATCCAACCTGTTCAGCCAGAGAAGCAGCCACTGTTATTTGCTCAGGTAAGTCAGGAGTGGCCTTTTATGGGCAGTGAAAATTCATAAAAAAGCAGTGTTGGTGATCTCACTCTGCCAAGTAAGTCTGGTATATCAGCCTGTCCATAATTTCCTTTCCCCTGCCCTTACAACCTTGGTTTCAGCATAAAAACTTCATTTAGTAGAGGGATTCACATTGTTTAGTTGTGCCTGAATCCTCACAGGATCTAGTCTCTGAGCTCGGGGAAGCCTTTCTCACTTCCCATTGCAGACCCTTGTGTGCATGAAAGCAAACAAAGCATTAACAGAGGCTGTCTTCTTAACCAACGGTGAGAATTATTTTTTTACCAACATAGAAATTTGTCTTCCATCTCTCTCCTGCATCTTATTTTTATTGCAGTAAGAGCAGTAGATGTTATTCAATACATTTTCCAACTCTCTTGAGCCCAGGTCTTGCTGAATCACTCAGACTCTCAGGTGGTGAAAGCCGCTGTGATGGGCGAGTTGAGATCTCTCTCTATGGCATGTGGAGCAGAGTCCTGGATGATGACTGGGACATCAAAGATGGTCATGTGGTATGCAGACAGCTCCAGTGTGGAATTGCCAAGAAAGCCTATTACCTTCCAAGGTCTGAGCGAGGCATGGGTCTTGTGGGCTTAAGAAGTGTCCAGTGTGCTGGAAATGAGACTCATCTGATGCTCTGTAAGACCTCCCTTTCTCACACAGTGCCAACAGGAGTTGCTGAAGATGTTGGTGTAATTTGCTCAGGTGAGTTACTGTGCAAAAGGAACAGAACACTTCCTGGGTTGCCTCTAGCCCACCTTGTGCTGTGGTCTTCCCAGCTCTTAAATAGAGATGAGTCTGAATTTGTGATACCCACCTGTATACCCTAAGGGACAAATGATAGTTCAAGAAGCAAGTGTAATTTATACAATGATTTCTTCATCTGAATTTCTTAAATAATTAATGTAACAGAATAAAAAATAAATAATAGAATACAGAAGTCATAAGAACACTAATTTGGCCATGACTATCACATATTCTGACTGTTACTTGGGAATTAAGTAGGATTTATTTTGTGACATTTCTATATCTATAAATTCCTGCAGCCTATCTAAAGTAAATTATAACTGTTTCTACTATTATCTTATTTTATAACCCATCTGTAACAGAAACTTTCTCTGAGTTCAGATAGAAAACAGCTTTTCAGGCTCTCTGAGATAAGGTGATCTCCACATAGTATGAATAGACAGTCCTTGTTTGCAACATCTCACTGGAAATATTCAAACATTTACCTTATGTAGGAGTAGGTCTTTATGTGGTTTTAGCATCACAGGAGTTCTGCCCGAGAAACCATAACAGAAGAACTGGAATATAACAAAAACATGATTCTTTGAAAGTTCTTTAAACATACAGCTATTATGCTGACCTGTTCATTATCATTATATTGCATGTCAACAGCTGGGTTTTCTTCCTGCAGGTAGCAGACGAATCAGGCTGATGAACGGAACAGAGCGCTGTGCTGGGAGAGTAGAGCTTTTTCATGATGGCATCTGGGGCACTATCTGTGATGATAACTGGGATCTATCAGATGCTAATGTTGTTTGCAAACAGCTGGGATGTGGACATGCCATCAAGGCATTTGTCTCTGCTCATTATGGTGAAGGCTCAGGACAGATCTGGCTGGATGATGTGAACTGCACTGGCGCCGAACCTGATCTCTGGGCATGTCCCTCTAGGGCATGGGGCCAGCACAACTGCCAACACAAAGAGGATGCTGGAGTTCTATGCTCAGGTGTGTTCAGCAAATCCTTTTCTGACACTGTGGATTGAGGGGGGAAGGTTACATGAAGGGGAAGCGGAGAACAGTGGAGACTTGCTTTGACAGCATCTGCTCTCTCTTGGTTACAAGCGTAGTTGGTCATCACACTTCCTTGGTCCCACCAAGATACAATGGGTCTACAGAAGTCCTCATTTTGAATTAACACAGACACACACACACACACAAAACATGCGGAGTGGGATATTTGGGGGATAAATTGGAGGGTTTCTATAAAGGTTTTCACAGCAAGGGGCTGTAGGCGTTCCTTGTGCAGGAAGAGGTCATCCAGTGCCATGTGATTGTTACAGTCAGTTACAACTCGCTCTGAAACCAAGGGAAACAACCCACTGTGCACCTGTTATGGTTTGTGTGGGGGGTTTTGTCTGGTAGCGGGGAGGGGTGTAATGGCTCCTTAAGCAACTGCTAAGAGTTCCCCTAGCTTCCAGTCTGCTGCTGGTGGCAAGGGAGGGGTTACAGTGGTGGCT